GGGTTTAGGGTTTAGGGTTGCCCAGTGCTCAAGGGGTGTTTATGCGCTTGATTATGTCTGTATATAGGATAGTTTTGGGGTCAAAGCCACAAAGAACTAACAGATCTGGGGATCCGAAGGGAAAGGAAGTTCTTCTGCCTGCAGGCCCTGTTTTTGCAGATGGAGGGCCGAGGGTGGTCCACAAAGGTGTGCGCAGAGGCTTAGGCTGGACCCTAAACCCTAAACCTTAAACCCTGGAGGCTGTTGACAAAGCAGACGAGATCTAGAGTTATGCTGCAGAAACGAGGGGACAGAATTGAAGTTTTGGGGAGCTGGAAGACCTTGCGCAACTGATTATTCCAGGTGTCGGGTTAAACAACAGCTCTTAGGGTCACTACAGCAGAGACCCTGAAGACACAGGTGGAAGCGGCGGCTCCCGTGTTCTGCTTGGATCGCGCCTCAGTGCTGCATATCGCTCGTCAACGCTGCATCATGAAGCTTAGTTATTGTTCTTCCTTGCTGATCTCAGGAAGACGACCCTCAACCCTAAGCTGTAAAGCTGCAAACCCTAAAACCCTTCCGACACTTCCTTCGGACAAAGGCATTTGTACTACAGACCTTAAATGGGGAGTTCCGAAAATAGGTGACCCTAGTATAGTACCCTAAATAATAGGATCCCTATTATAAGGATCCCCAAATAAGGTACCCTAATTTTCTGAAACTCCCAAATGCCAAACCTACCTTCCGCAAGATTCGACACGATTTTAATGAAGGGCTCAGAACCGGCCAGCGAGTGCCGACCCTTGAGCTCTGACTTAGGGTTTAGGGTTTAGGGTTTAGGGTTTTAATAACAGACATTCTGCAATTCGAAGCTTCATGCCAAAACCTCAGAACCCGCAAGAAAGCAGATGTTTGTGGGTTTTAGGCAGGGTTCTGTAAGGGTTCTATAAGGGTTCTATCAGAGTTCTTTAAGCTGAACCCCGCGACCCCCTTAAACCGACACCTCTTAGCCCCCTACATCCGCACCCTCAATGCCCAAAGCCCTTGGACCCTCCACCGTGAGGCCCCCCAAAGACGCCAACGACCCAAGGAACCCGTAGACCCTAAACCCAAGGACTCAATCCTGTAAATCCTGTTTCCTGACATGCCACCCAGAATGCCGAAGCCTTGAACCCTGCCAGAGAGCTTCACGAAAAAGCCTTCTTCCTTAAACCCCTACACTCCACACCCCAAGCCTTCGAGGCCCTCAGCCCCCAGCCCGAAACCCTGAACCCGAAACCCTGAACCCTAAACTCTAAACCAAAACCCTAAACCCTAAACCCCAAACCTTCCAGTGCTAGAAGCCTTTGAAACCCCAGAAGCCCTCGAAACTTCTTGCAACCTCCTGAGGAGGCCTTGCGCAAGAGGCTTCTGCCGGGGTCTCGCCGAGTCTCTGGGAGTCCGGAGCAAGGGAGTTTAAGGTTTCTTTGCAGGGTGCTTTGGGGTTTTATACCGCTGTTAACAGTTTTGAAAGGTGTCATGGGTGTTTAAAGGGTATCTAATGGCTTTATAGGGTTGCAGTTTGGGTTCTCACAGGCTGTATCGTGATCTGTCAGGATCCGGGGCTTCGGGTTGGAGGGCTGCTACAAGCCGCATCATCATGCTCGCATATGCTTAACCCCCCAGGTACCTACTATATAGGGTACTAGAGCCCCTAAGGCCCTATATAGTAGGTACCTGGAGTGTCAGGGTATGCTCGCCGTTTTGGGTAGTACTCTCTCCGCGCAGGCCCTATGAACCCTGAACTCTGAGATGCTGCTGGGTTTAGGGTTTAGGCCGACATGACATTTCAGTTTTCTTCAGCAAAAGAGATTGAGCCAACTTCTTCCTGAGAGTGTTTGATTTTCCCGTTTCATTCCTTGATTTTTTGCACACTGATGATTTGCACAATGATTTGTGTTCTGGTGCTGAGCTTAGTTTGGTCTCTTTCCCAAACCTGCAACATTGCCAGATTCAGGATATTTGGAAATTTGGGTTGGGGGCTTAGGGTTTAGGGATTCTGGTGTTGGCCTTAGCTTTGGGGTTCTGGAGTGGTGTGAGCGGAGATAGCTTTTGGATGTGAGAACCGGGATTGCCGCTTGGGTAGCCTGGCTCCTAAATGTGGTCGAAGGCCACGGTAAGGTTGTCAACTCTGCATCCTAAATTCTTACCGGCTAAACCCAGGCCTCTAAACCCGACACTCCAGACAAGAAGCTCCAATCCCTAAGCTTCCGACCTCACATATCAATCTCTGAATCCTCGCATAGAGGTCTGCATACAGGGTACCCGAAACGGTGTCCCCTTGTCGTCCTTTTTATACTTGCAGTGCGATCTACGAAAGCGTATTCTGTTAAATTAGGCCACTACAGTAGACCTTAAAACTGATGTCGATTTCACGGTAAATGCAAAATTGGAAGGCTTTTCCCTGAAACTGAAACCCCCGTGAGTCCTTTGGCTGCGGCAAAGGTTATGTTGGGTTTAGGGTTCAGCGCCCAGGGATTAGGGTAAACCGTGCCTACCTCTCTCCAGGACAAAGTCGTTAATCCATCCAAGGAGGTCAGGTAGCAGATTGCGGGCCCGGAAACACTTCACACAATTCGCAGGCTCTCCGTACTTCTCAAACTCCAAACCCTAACCCAAAACCCCAAACCCCAACAGCAGAAAGCCCTACCCGAAACCCTAAACCCAAAACCCAAAACCCTAAACCCTAAACCCTAAACCCTAAACCCTAAACCCTAAACCCTAAACCCTGAACCCGAAGCCCCAACATGAGATGTTTCGCCCTCATGGGCTCTCTTAGAGCCTTCAGAAACCCAGGTGCCTTGGCTACCCGTCGATGCTGTCGGCGCTGTCTGCCATGTGCCTCTACTATTTAGGTAGGAGTTTGCAGTTAGGTTTTCGGGATTAGTGGTCAGGGTTTAGGGTTTAGGGTTTAGGGTTTAGGGATTAGGGTTCAGGGTTGAGGTTTTGGGCTTAGGGATTGCCCTGCCCGTGAGGTTTTTGAACCTTAAGACTCTCACTGCGATCCTTTCCGGATTTAGGGCTTCAGGGCTTTAGTTCTGGTTCAGGGCGTCAGGGGCTGGAGTTGAAGGATACTTCTCGCATCGTTCGCTTTGCAGTTCGGGCTTCGTTCGAGGCTGAAACTTTGCGGTTTTGTCAACTTTAGAAAGACCTTAAAACACTCAGGGTTTCAAAGGTTTTCAAGGCTTTTCTACGGATGCCAAGGCCTTCAAAATCAACCGGAAGTCGGGGGGTATTGAGGAGTGAAAGTGTAGGCTTTTCTATCCGGCCTTGATCATCTTTTCACGCAAGGCGTCCGGAGAAATCAAAGCCATCAGCTGATGAGTATAAGCATTTATACAGAAATATGTCGGCGGTGTACTTCAACGTTGCATTCCTTATGTCAGGGTTCGCAGCTTCATATGCGAGCATGGAAAACAAGTGAAAGGCAAACACATCTGATTGAGCTATGCTCCTATGTCGATTGCTGCTCATGGCTTTGTACGTAATTGTGAATGGTAAGCTCATGTTTTTGTTGGAGTCTGTCATAGGCATGCAGTGATTGAAATCTGACAAGCAAGGAGAAGTCTGCCAAGAGGAGGCCATGATGTCACCGGTGTCGGTGCCGGTCGTCACTGCGCTGAGCACCGTGCTGTGTCTCGTTGCTTCTGCTGTGCCTTTGGGGCAGCAGAAGACGTTTGGGCACGCGATCAAGAACGGGAATCTTCCTCCCAACACCGACGTCACCACCTTCGAGCACCGATGCACGGTGCCCCCGTGTGTGATCACCCACGTGAATGTGCCGTCGATCTATCCAAAGGGAGGCGATGCTTGGAACTGGACTCAAGGCCACGTGTTCTTCTTCGTGGATGGTGAGAAACAGCCGAGCATTTCCCTGACTTTGCTTGAGTTGGCAGGTGAAGGCCATTGGAACCTGGCCGGAACCAATGCCCAGTCTGGCGATCATATGCCCGACGGCAGCCCGTGGGGAACTTCCTTGATGGGCCGCACCGCCAAGTCCGGTGGTGTCTACTCCACCCTCCGAGTGCCTTTTGGCAAGTCCATCCGAACGGCGATCCGTGCGCCGGCGTCCGCCACGCAGGACTCCGTGTTCTGGTTCGTGATCCGAGGCCTCGAGGCACATGTGGTCAGGCTCGGAGATCTCGAGTTGCCAGCAGCGGCGCGTTTGCGCCTGCACCGTCTATCTCCCACAAAGCTCGAGAAGCTGCAGCTGGTGGACTTGGCGAGCTCACCGAAAGGAACGAGTGGGGCCCTGGTTCGTGTACAGCTGGATGCCAGGAGTGGTAGTTTCGGCTTCTTGGAGGCTTGCATGCGATTCTTCCCAGACGGTGCAGGCGAGGATGAGCCCATCTTCCTGTCCAGCGGTGCTGAGGACTACTTTCTCGGTGCATCCTACTTCGACGAAGGCATGTTCAAAACCTCCCAAGCGGGTTTGACATACTTCAACCGCAGCAGCTACACCCTGGCGGCTTACAAGACACATATTGAAGACCCTGTCCTTTGGAGGGATGGTATGCGCCTCCGATTCCGCAACTGTGAGGACACGGAAGGCTGCGGAGACGTGAATCACTGCCCCAACAAGTTCTGCAGCGCTGCAGCCAGCGAGAGCAGTGCTCGCAGCACAGAAGAGCTCCCAAGAGCAGGGGCTCAGCATCTCAAGAGAGAGCGAGGCAGCGACGCGGGGGATCTCGCAGAGTACTCCGCACTGGTCTTCAGCTATGAGTGGCCCCGGGAGACCTCGAACTTCGACGACCGAAGGGCGATGCAGGTCTCCGCTTTGCGAAACCTCGGAAATTTGGTGTCCAAAGCAAAGCTCAACGAGGCTTTGGAGGACGCGGCCACGGATCGGATCTTGGAGGGTGAGGAAGGCGTCCTCAGTTTGCTCCTGGCCTTCTCCCAAGATCTCTCTGAAGAAGCGGCGAAGAGACTGGCAAGGCAGCTTGCGAGACGGATTCAACAGACCGAGAGGCTCACGCAGATCTGAGGAATTTAGGGTTTAGGGTTTAGGGGTTTAGGGTTTAGGGTTTAGGGTTTAGGGTTTAGGGGTTTAGGGTTTAGGGGTTAGGGTTTCTACCTATAGTCTCCATTGTAGTTCCTTTCTGGGGATACCTTATAAAGTCCTTAATATATAATTGGTTAAGCCAAAAAAAGAACTACAATGGAGACTATAGGTACTCCCCAAGTGCTGCTACTAAGCTACCGTTGCTTTGTATTATCCTACAGCTTCGAACACCTCCAACCAGTATACATTGGACCCTTAGGGCGATAAGGGTGAGCTTTGGACGAGCAGCTGAAAGATTGGGCGCTGGAAGCCGTGAGCGGTGCCGTCACACTTGGTGCAGCTTCGCTCGTTTTTCATAATCTCATAATATGTTAACATCATATGTTTCTTGGAGATTCCAACGGCCCTTAGCTGAACGGTGTTCCCCACTCCAAGAAAAGCGTCGTGATCTTTCAACGTGTTGGCTGCCGACAAAAAGAGGTGTACTCGAGCAGCCAAGACGTGGAGTGGAAAATTTCGATTCCGGACTAGCTTTTGATGCTTCGTTGCAATGGACCTACTTATGGCGTGGGACAGGTTCACTCATATAGGGGCCTTAATAATTAGAATAGGGTTCTGGGGTATAAGATACTATAACTCCAATAAGGAGCCCCCAAAATATTCTAGGTACTTATCATAAGGCCCCTATAGTTGCGTAGGGCCCCGAGCTTCCAGGGACGGACTGGTCGGAGTGACGGAACCCACGGTTTCGTCGGCTTGGGTAGATTCCAGTGTAGCAACTCGGGCAGGTGCTCTCCGGCCGCGCGGTAATCGCCGCTGTTTAGGGTTAGGGTTTAGGGTTTAGGGTTTAGGGTTGAGGGTTGAGGGTTGAGGGTTTAGGGTTTAGGGTTATGCTGACACCATATAAACGCTGCTAGTCCTACAATGCAGCCGCATCCAATGTTCTGTAAACCCATCTAGCATCATCTACACAAGCCTTCGTGTCCCGTCGTCTGATAGAAGCCGTAGCTCACTGCAGGCGGTACATATACTTCACAGCAAGTTGTTAGGCAATGCGGGGTACCATGTCACGCATACCAAAGTCCCTGAACACCATAAGAACTCAAGACTGATGGCCAAATTTGTATGCGGGATGTCCCCACTTACCTTCATCCTGTCTTTGGAGCCATGTTAAGTCCCCTAAAGCCTAAAGACCCCCTAAACCCCACAACCCCAAAACAGAAACAACACCCTGTAACACCACGAGAAAGCCCTATAAGATCCCTTGCAAAAAGCCTTTACGCAAAACCATGGGTCCCTAAACCCTAAACCCTAAACCCTAAAGTCCCTATCAAAACCGTGCGCCCGCGGCCTGCTCTCGTCAGCCCCAGGCAGTCGTCTGGCGAGGCAGAGAGCAAATTTCGGGTCAGGGCCGGGTTTCGGGTTTGGGGTTTAGGGTTTGGGGTTTGGGGTTTAGGGTTTAAGGTTTGGGGTTTCGGGTTTGGGGTTTAGGGTTTAGGGGTTGGGGTTTAGGGTTGGTGAGGGCTCTCGAAAGTTTTAGAGGGTTCAGAGCGTTTGGGGGTGTAGGGTTTAGGCTTTATAGGGTACAGAGTTCTGTTTATATTGGTTTCCAAAGGGGCTTTCAGGGTTCTTTGTGGTCTGGGGGGCTCTTGTCTAGGGGTCCTTGTAACAAGGGTCCTATCATGTAGCGGTCCGCAGAATAGGGATCCCTTTACTTAGGGTTCAGGTTTAGGATACTCTTATGAAGGCTTGGGGCTCGAAGATGGGCCAGAATCTCAGGGTGTCAGAAGTTACGGGGTATTTGAGGTTTTAGACCTTCCGGTTCAGGCTTTAGGGCTTTAGGGGTCATGGGCTTTAGTGTTTGAGGGTTGAGTGAGGGTTAGGTTTGAGAGTTGAAGGATAACCCCTGAGGAAGTGCTCGCGAGAATCAGAGTCGTGGCGGTTGCCACCTTCTCGTCCAACCCCTTAACCTTACCTAGAAAAGCCTCAGCAGGGCAATTGCAACAGAAGCCACTGCCCAGTCCCAGTCCCGAGCCCCAGAACCCCCATTCTGAAGCCCTAAATCCTAAGGCCCAGGCCTTAAACATTCAGCTCAACACCACCGCTCTGAAAAGACTGGCAGTGTAGGCTTCGGGGTGTCGCCCAATCCTGCTGAAGTATTGAGTTTCCAAGCCCCCACCTTCTAAAGCCCCATAGAGCTGCATATATATATATATATATACATATCTATATACATAGAGAAATAACAAGCCCTTCTAACTTCTAACACAAGAAAGATCAACGGAACAGGTGTTATTTTGTTCGCTGTTGCTGCTTTTTTGCTGTTCTGCTCTGCAGCTGAAGCCCCGGCAAACCAGCAAGTGAGTGAGCAGCCAGTTTGGGCCTGAACAGCCAAAACAACCAATTCTCTGCAGCAGCGACAAGCTGAACACTGATCCGCACCAACGGCAAAAACCGCAACGCCACCCCGCAGCAACAGCAAAACCACCAGACGCCGCAGCAACAGCCAAAAGCAGCAACAGCAAAAACAACGCTCTTACCGAAAGATCGATCGGAACGATAATTGCTAGTAGAATCGATTCCCCGGTAAGGTTTAGGGTTTAGGGTTTAGGGTTTAGGGTTTAGGGTTTAGGGTTTAGGGTTTAGGGTTTAGGGTTTAGGGTTTAGGGTTTAGGGTTGGGGAGACCTGACCAGCACTGCGGGCCTAAGCTCGAAGCCTTGAGCCCTGAGACACCCTGACCCTCAAGTCTAAACCCAACCTCCCGGCCGCCCTCTCCATTCAACCACAGCAACAACTTAGGGTTTAGGGTTTGGGGTTTTAGGGTTTAGGGTTTAGGCTTTTTGGGTTTAGGGTTTAGGGTTTAGGGTTTAGGGTTTAACAACCACACAGCTGAGACGGCTGCCAGGATCTGACCATGGTCCCATTAAGCTTCCAGCAATTCTCGGAGTGCCTCAGTCCGGAGCCCAAAGACGCTTTTTGGCTTGTAAGAACCTCTTCATTGTGGAGTCTCGCTCGTTTTGGGTGCAAGGTTTTTACGAGTTTTCGACTTTAGGAATTGGGTTTAGATTCGTCGTCATTGTCGAGAAGTCTATATGTAGAGGTAGATAGATCTTGCTATGATTGTTCTTGATGGTGACAACTCCACATGTATAAATACCTACGCACTATGTGTGCGCACCCATACGTAAGTCACGTAAGCAGACAGAGACAGAGACAGACAGACGGACAGGCAGGCAGGCAGGCAGGCAGACAGACATACAGACGGACAGACAGGCAGACAGGCAGGCAGGCAGACAGACAGACAAACAGACAGACGGACAGGGACGGACAGACCGACAGACCGACAGGCAGACGGACCGATGGACAGACAGGCAGACAGAAGTAACCTGAGTATAGACCCTAAACAGCCGCATCCTTGGTTAAATAAGGACCCTGAAAAGGGGACCGTGAATTTCCATCTCTCCCATTCCCTATAGCCCGTTCTCTCCTGGCTTTTTCCTGAGATGGTCCCCTTGGAGGCAGCCACCGCACAAGGTCTCAGAGAAGGTTTTCATGAGGGGTTTAGGCATGCTTCTGGGGTTTTGAATGGTTCTGCTCTCTTGCTCTATAGAGGTGAATAGAAAGCGGCATTTCTGTGAGAAGGTTTCATCCATTTCTGTTCCCCCTGGTGCCTACAACCACAGCTGTGAAAGCCTTAGTCAATCCGAAACCCCAAAATTTAGTTGGGGGCCAACCCTGAACTATCAGCCCTGAACGCAGACCCGAAACCCCAACTCCAGGATCAGGGTTTAGGGCCCTAAACCCTAAACCCCCTAAGCCCTAATTCAACTCTAAATCCTAATTACACCCTGAGTAAACCCTAAACCCTAAACCCCAATCAAACTCTAACTCAAAACTAAACTAAAATTAAACCCTAACCCGAAACTTGAAATCCTAACTGCTCAGAACCCCACATTTCAGGACGCGTCTGGGTGATACAGCCACAGGCCAGGCCAAGCAGAGGGTGGCTGATGCAGTCTTCACGGTTTCAGGGATTAGGGTTTAGGTTTTCGGGTTTAGGGATTTAGGGGTTTAGGGTTTAGGGTTCAGGGTTTAGGGTTTAGGGATTAGGGTTTAGGGATCAGGGATTAGGGTTTAGGGTTAAGGGCATGCTCGTTGAAGTTGCAGCCCTGTTCTAGGGTTTCGGGTGTAACAACAGGGCCCCAACTAAGTAAATACCAGTACTCTAGTTTGGGGGCTCCTTATTACGGTGAATAGTATAGGATACCTTAATTCTCAAGGCCCCTATATTCGGCTCGGAATAGTTTCCACATTTCACACCCGAAGTCTGCTTCTTCGACTGCAAGATTGGTTACTATAGGGGCCTGAAAAGTTAGCTATACTATTTTTTGGCCTCAAAAGTTATCTTATATATATATATATTATTTTGGGGGTTCCTTATTATAATTGTAGCAGAAGTATTAAGGCCCCTACGTTACGAACACCGTGCGCCTCTTCCGGTGCAAGGATCCGAGCAATTGCCAAAGAGGGCTCGCGTGAAAAGCCCATGGCAACTCCAACCGTCGGGTTTAGGGTTTAGGGTTTAGGGTTTAGGGTTTAGGGTTGAGGCAACCTTAATATAGTATAGTGTAGTATAGTATAGTATATTCTAGTCGATTATAGTATCGTATAGTATAGTATATTCTAGTGTATTACAGTATAGTATAGTCATGCTGCTTACTGTTGCTTTTTGACATCTCGGAATCCCAACTCGTCGCTGCAGGAGCATCGGGCCATTTTCGATCTGGTCCGCGACCCGCAGCAAGCCCAAGGCGAGTTTTTCATAGTTTGTTGCTTCATACTGATACACCCTAAACTCTAAACCCCTAACATCACTGGCTAGGGCAGGCTCACTCTCTTGGACAGTGATGCAGGGCCTTGGTGCTTGGGGGCCTGTGGATGCGGGCTTCGAGTTTCCGGTGGTGCCGTGAGGTTTAGTGTT